CGTGGGACGACTGGGCGCGGCGTGCCCAGAGATAAATCGCACAGTATAGTGCCGTCTGATGATGTCAGCGGAACAGGTCGTATGTCCAATGAGGGAGACCTGCGTAGTAGATCAACCTCAGGGTCCTTGAGTTGCGCTGTGGCCATGGCTGCCAAGTCGATAGCAGTGCCGGCGTCAGCGGAGATAGCTTGAATGCGGGAAAGTGCATCGGCGACGGCGTTGTGCACACCTGAGACATGCCGTATATCGGTCGTAAACTGAGCGATATAGTCAAGGTGGCGCGACTCTCTAGGAGAGTATCGGTCGGTAGTCGAGCCGAGCACGTAAGTTAGGGGTTTGTGGTCGGTGAAGACGACAAAGGAGCGGCCTTCTAGGACGTGTCGAAAGTGACGTATCGCTAGATATACGGCAAGTAGTTCTCTACCGAACGTGCTGTAGCGAGATTCGGTAGGTTGTAGGCGTTTGGAGAAAAACGCTAAGGGCTGCCACGTGTCGGCTACGCGTTGCTGCAAAACAGCGCCGACCGCGACGTCCGAGGCGTCAGTACTAAGGGACAGTGGGGCGGTCGGATCGTGATGCGCTATGGAAGCTATGTTGGCGATAGCCTCTTTCAGCGACTTAAAAGCAGCGCGTGCTGCGGTAGGAAATTCGAACGTCTTGAGTTTCCCTCGGAGAAGGTCCGTGAGGGGTTGCATCAGAGAGGCGCAGTTGGGTATAAATCGACGGTAAAAGTTGACCAGGCCATCAAAACGCCTGAGCTGCTTGAAAGAATGAGGCTCGGGGTAGTCGATAATGGCTTGAATTTTATCTTGCAGTGGCACGACGCCTGCAGAAGAGATACGATGGCCCAGGAAATTAACTGAATCGACACCAAACGAACACTTTTCTGCGTTGATCGTCACCCCGTGTTGAGATAAACGATCAAAAAGTGTTCGTACGTGGCGTATGTGCTCTTCTCGTGAAGAGCTTGCGATTAAAATGTCGTCAAGATACGCGTAAGCGAAGTCTAAGCCGCGACAAACTTGGTCGATGAAACGCTGAAAAGTTTGCGCGGCGTTCTTTAGACCAAATGGCATACGCAGAAACTCGAACAAACCAAATGGAGTCGTCACGGCAGTTTTAGCGATGTCCGCCTCGGCTACCGGAATTTGGTTGTATGCGCGTACCAAGTCGATTTTGCTGAAGATATTTTTACCCGCCAGACTGGCGGTGAGATCCACTATGTGTGGGATCGGATAGCGATCAGGCGTGGTTACCGTATTCAAGGATCGATAGTCGCCGCAAGGACGCCAGTCCCCCACAACCTTCTTCGGGACCATGTGCAGAGGCGACGCCCATGGGCTGTTGGACGGTCTGACGATACCAAGTTGAAGCATGTGGTCAAATTCGGCTCGTGCTGCCCGTAGTTTGTCTGGAGCAAGCCGTCTTGGTCGTGCGCTAACTGGTTGACCGCGCGTAACTATGTGGTGAGCGACCTCTGTCGTGACTGGTGGAAGCTCTGCAGCCGGTCGAACCAGTCGCGGGTATTCGGAGAGGAGGCTCAAGTAGTCGGACGGTGCGTCTGCGATCCGAAATACAGGGCTGATTACCGGGGCATCTGAAAGGACACCATCAACACCTAGTTTCGTACGGTCGTCTAAAAGCCTGTGGCGACCAGCATCAACAAGCAACCCAAAATGTCGGAGGAAGTCGATACCGATAATTGCGAAGGGTACAGACGCAACCATGAAGACCCACTGAAAATCTCGGCGAAGATTGAGGTCCAGGTTCATCATGCGCTGACCGAATGAAGCTATCGGAGAACCGTTGGCCGCACGCAAATTGTACGTAGGCTTCGAGTGCTTGTCGCTAGCGGTCGCTGGGATGACGCTGACTTCCGCTCCTGTGTCGATGAGGAACGTGATGGAAGAACGTCGATCCTTAACGTAAAACAGTCGGTTTACTTGGTTATTAAATGATACGTTTGTAGTGCTAGTATGCGGGCTATTCGTTTTCCCTGGGTCGTGCCTAATGCAGGGAGCCCGACAACGTCTAGCTCTTCCACCGTATTGGCGGTGATACCAACATACTTCTTCGACGGGCTTGACATTATCTGACTGAGAACTTGTAAGGAAAATGTTGCGCTTTCGTGCCGAACGTGACGTACTCGGTGCAGGCACAGACGAGCCGCAATGAACGGTAGCCAAAACGTGGTCAGCATTTGACCGTAGCACCCGCTGCTTCGAAGCCTTCATTGCTGCTATCCTGCTGCGAAGTAGCGCAATTTCCTCGTCTTTAGAGTCCGATCGGTCTAGCGACTGGGAACAAACATGTGATTCGGTTTTCATCGGTGAGAATATGTCACCGGAGTTACTGGTCGTCTGCTGCGGAAAACGTTCGAACGCAGCGTCTGCCTTGGTAGCTAAGTCTTTCAAGGGTGCATCTATAAACATGGACAGCATTACCGGCAATGGCTCTGGGAGACGTGCAAACCACAGCTCCTTTATCCCTTCTTCGCTCAAGAATAAGGGACCAGCGATGCGCTGAAGTTCGCGGAGCAATGCCGACGGCTTGCGATCTCCAAGCTTGAGACCATTGAGCTGCTCAAATCGTGTTCGTGCGCTGGGTCGTAACTCTTTCAAAATCGCTTGCTTCATCGTTTCATACTTTGCCTCATTCGATGGGCAGAGTAGAATGTCCTCAATCAGCGTCACTACCGACGGAGGAAGGCGTGGGACGAGCTGATTGTACCTTGGACGGTCCGCCGTTATGCCCTTATTTTCTAGTTCGATCTCGAATATCTTAAACCAAACTTCTGGACTGTGTTCCATGAAACTTGGAACAGCCAAAGTAAGCATGGTTACGCTGTGAAACGACTCAGATACCACTCTCGAAATGTGAGTCGAAAGATAAAGAACGAACGAAATACGATAAAAGTACTAAAATTACGCAAGAAACAAATGAATATACGTATATAATCGAGAAAAAGGAACGAACTCACCAAAAATACAAACGAGAAAAAAAGTTGAATTCGCGCGTGCGAATCGGGGTCACCAATTTGTAGGACTAGTTAATACTAGTCCGAGACGATGCGCGGAATTAAGCGCGGATATCAGAAGGCAATTGGAGTCGGACACAGCGGACTGTATTCGATGGGCTACAACAATAAGCGGACGGATGAAGCGAGGCAAGAGCGTACACGTGAGCGCGGGGACTTACAAGGCAGTTGTGTGTCGAGCCGGTTGTAAGATTAAAACAAGAAGGAGTAATGTACAATCGGTCAACAAGTAAATTGTACACGAAAGATAAGAGTTATCTTTTTGGGCGCTACAAAATCTATTGCACATTGCAGCATTATATATTGCAGCATATTGCAGCATATATAAATAAATATATATATTATATCCATATATATACATATACATATATATATATATATTATTACTTCACAGAAGGTGTCACAGCAATGCTAACATGTGCAATGGATCTGACTGACTGCTCATATAAGCTGTGTGCCTGTAAGTGCTAAACGGCACCACTGCACGTAATATTTCTAAGGGAATGTAGTTATGCATTTATGTATATGCAAGGGCTGATGCATAAGCTGGTGGCGGTTATTTACCGGAGGATCGCGACTCTAGTTAAGTTGTCACAGCAATGCTAGCATATGCACTAGAGCTGATTGACTACTCATATTGTCTGCGGGCCGTAAGAATGAGATCATCGCCACGGCACTTAATATTTGAAAGGGAATATATATATTTATATTTATATGCAATATAGCTAAAGGAATGCTTATGTAACCGGATGGCGGGTAATTATCTGAGGATCGTAACTCTACTGAAGTTGTCGCAACGATGCTAACATATGCAGTATAGCTTCCTGACTGCTCATTTAGTCTGGGGGCCATAAGTATGAGATCATCGGCACCGCGCTTATTATTTAAAGTGGAGTATAATTATATATACAAATTTATTTATACGCAATACAGCTAAAGGAACCCTGATGTAACCTGATTGCCGGTAATTATCAGAGGATCGCAACTCCAATTAAGTTGTAGCAGCGATGCTAACATATGCAGTAGAGCTGACTGACTGCTCAGTTACTCTGGGGGCCCTAACCATGGCACCATCGCCACTACACTTAATAGTTAAAAGGGAATATATTTATTTTTATTTATATGTAAGGGAGGTAAATGGCTGCTAACATAAGCTGGTGGCCGGTAATTATTGCACGATTCCAACTCTACTGAGGATGTCTCAGCGATGCTAAGATATGCGAAAGCGGTCACTGACTAATCACATAAGCGGGCCGCTGGTAAGTGTTAGTGGTTGCCGGCTGCACAGAAGATAGCCCAGCAATGCTTCCATATGCGACAGTACTGATTGTCTACTCTAATAAGCTGGCGGGTGGCAAGTGCTAGATGTTCCCGACTTCACTGAAGGTATAAAATACATCCTATCGTAGGCAATGGAGGTAAATGACAGCTCATAAGAGCTGGACGCAAGTAATTGTTACATGTTGCCGGCATAAAAATGGCAGCAGCATAAGTAGAAAGGCAGGAAACCAACTCCCGCACCTGCCCTGTTGCCGGAATGGTGCGCGATTTCGACATCCGCAATTTGACTAGTGACTTGGTCCAACGTGATTCCGCATGGCGTGCTCTACGTACAACGGCCTCAAAAAGTTGCAACAGCGATGTCCTTTCGCTTAATCCGCACTTGAGGTGCTTATTCTCGTTTTCCACTCTGTTGGTGGTGAACGCACCCAACTTACGCACACCGCGCAACCGGTGGTACGCCCAGCTTCCTGCGAAGGGCAACCACGTACGACTGAGGTAAGTGAATGCCTCTTTGCTTCTAACCCTTATCGCTCTGAGCAGCATCTTAAATTGCAATTCCGTCTTCGTGTACACTAATCGGTGCATCCACTGCTTGAGCAGAACTCTGTCCGCCTTCTTCACTTTTGACAAACACTGGCATCTGCGTGAAACGTCCCGCAGGAAATGAAAGCGGCATAATACTACCGTGCTCCGTGCATATACTGACTTAAATGCCTTCATTTGACCCAGGCACCTATCCATGACTATAGTCTTCGCTGACAAGGTGGTGGGCAACATTTCCGACATGCCCCGAGCAACCTCCAGGTAACTGCATGCTGTCTCGTTGAGCATTAAAGCGTAAAACACGCTGCGACCTACGCCGAAACCGTCAATCACCATACAGTGCCAAAGAATATAACCACCGCAGTTCACCTGATGCGTCGCATCCGCAAGAAGTACGTCGCCGTATTTCGCCGCTATGGAAGTCATTGAAGCAGGAACGAAAAATACGAATCGCACTTGTGACCCATCTCTTTCGACACGCACAGCGCCGTTCTTACTCAACAATTCCGCTACCGCGTTTACATCATTCCCCTTAGATACCCACCTAAGCGATGGCGGATGGAAAATAGGTCCTGTCGATTCAGTCGTTTGTTATATCTTTCCAGGACATAGTCTCGCAATTCTCCGGTATTACGGAAGGACTGCATTAAATCAAACACTTGCCGCTCCGCCTCGGGAGTCAGACGCCGGTTACCCACGTACAAACTTGGATTCCCCAAGTGAAAATTATGATTATGCACCAGACAATGCGAGCCTATCTCATAGTAAATGCCCTTAGCACTGATGGATATGCTCGCTTTACAACCGAGGCTGACATACCTATGAAACATGAATTACGCATAAAAAAACTTTCGCACTTACCGACTGCCACCGTCTCCTTTCCAGGTGCAATGGACACAACGATATTGTACCCATTTGTACCGGATCCCATCGGGTAGCTCTTGACCGGACCTCTTCTTATACGACGCAGCGGTCAAAACGTCATATTTGTAAAAACTGGTCGCCGTCTGAAGTTGAAACCGCTTCAAATCTTCCTCGAATTCACCAAATGCCTTATAATATTGGCGAAAAGCAGCGCGGAAAGCAAGAGTATCATCCACAGCCATTGCAGCGAAACCGAAACAACACCTGCGCACTAAAACAAAAACCATCATATACATCGTAAAATAATGCACCACCATTTTCAGTTCCCCTAAATCAATATACCTCTATTAAACCCTTATCAGGCCTTAACAACGTACTTCATATCATTCATCCCCATCAGCCAGTACAGCAAACAGTACCGCCCCCAAAATATGATCAGCTGTTTTCGATTATTCCGACTTTGAATCGGTATGACGCGCGAAATTAAGTTTCTGGCCGAGGAACTAGCGTACATTAATCTGCAAAAGATGGAAAGGTAAACAACAGTTACGGCATAGCGTGAACAAGGTATGAAAAAGGAATGCTTAATTAATGCTATCTTTTGTTTTTGGCGTGGCATTAGTTTCGGTTTTAATGGGTGGTTAATTAAGGGCACATACTGAGCGTCAATACGAAATGTGTATGCTGTAATCGGCGTTGGTTAGCGGGTGTTAATGGCAGACTCAATGGTTAGGACATTTGCAAGCAATTTGCGTACAGTAAAAGATGATGTGCTAATGCGGTAGCGTCCGTCTATGTAAAAAAAAGACGTGATTATGCAAGGGGAATGCGAAAGTTGGATAATCAGTCTATATATAGATCCTCCTAGTGGCATTTTATGCGGTAAAAGAATGAGTTTAGCTACAGTCTATTTTATGGTAGAAGGCGCTGTTAAAAATAATTAGGTAGATAAATAACCGGTAGACTGTAAATATTTTTGTACGTCTGCAAAGGGTTTTGGAATTGTTACCGTCGGACTACAAATGAAAAACGAGGCGACTATGTGCTTCAGTATACGCTTTACATAAAACTGGCTACTGAAAGATCTTAGTAGCAATTAATTGAAATATGTTGGTTGCTTCATATACTGTCTAACGGTAATGCTGCAATGTGCAATAGAGTTAACTGGCAACTGCGATATGCCGACCGCTCTGAAGTATTATATTATATTATATTATTATTATATATATTATAATATTGTATTATTTTATATATAATATAGTATAGTGATATATCTAATAATAATATAATTTAATATAATACTTAACAGCGGTCAACATGTTGCAGTTGCCAGTAAACTCTATTGCACATTGCAGCATTATATATTGCAGCATATTGCAGCATATATAAATATATAAATAAATAAATATATATATATTATTACTTCACAGAAGGTGTCACAGCAATGCTAACATGTGCAATGGATCTGACTGACTGCTCATATAAGCTGTGTGCCTGTAAGTGCTAAACGGCACCACTGCACGTAATATTTCTAAGGGAATGCAGTTATTCATTTATGTATATGCAAAGGCTGATGCATAAGCTGGTGGCGGTTATTTATCGGAGGATCGCGACTCTAGTTAAGTTGTCACAGCAATGCTAGCATATGCACTAGAGCTGATTGACTACTCATATTGTCAGCGGGCCGTAAGAATGAGATCATCGCCACGGCACTTAATATTTGAAAGGGAATATATATATATTTATTTATTTGCAATATAGCTAAAGGAATGCTTATGTAACCGGATGGCGGGTAATTATCTGAGGATGGTAACTCTACTGAAGTTGTCGCAACGATGCTAACATATGCAGTATAGCTTCCTGACTGCTCATTTAGTCTGGGGGCCATAAGTATGCGATCATCGGCAACGCGCTTATTATTTAAATTGGAATATAATTATATATACAAATGTATTTATACGCAATACAGCTAAATGAACCCTGATGTAACCTGATGGCCGGTAATTATCAGAGGATCGCAACTCTAATTAAGTTGTAGCAGCGATGCTAAATATGCGGATGGCCGGTAATTATCTGAGGATGGCAACTCTACTTAAGTTGTCTCAGCGATGCAACCGTTTGCAGTAGAGCTGACTGGCTGCTCATTTACTCTGGGGGCCATAAGTATGGCACCATCGCCACTACACTTAATATTTAAAAGGGAATGTATTTATTTATTTATTTATATGGAATGGAGGTAAATGGCGGCTAACAAGCGGGTGGCCGGTAATTATTGCACGATTCCAACTCTACTGAGGATGTCTCAGCGATGCTAAGATATGCAAAATAGGTCACAGACTATTCACATAAGCTGGCCGCTCGTAAGTGTTAGGGGTTGCTGGCTGCACAGAAGATGGCGCAGCAATGCTTCCATATGCAACGGAACTGATTGTCTACTCTAATAAGCTGGCGGGCGGCAAGTACTAGATGTTCCCGACTTCACTGAAGATATAAAATACGTCCTAACCTAGGCAATGGAGGTAAATGACAGCTCATATGAGCTGCACGCCCGTAATTGTTACATGTTGCCGGCTTCACAGAATGTGTCACAGCCTAGCCTTCCGTCCAGTTAACACTCAATCTTTCCCCAACTCCTTAACGCCTACAGTGCATTTGTATGTTTATTACGCTAACATCCCCGCTATTGTACCGAAGTCTGTGGTGAGGGCACCCCAACGGTTCTCACGTTGTCATGCAATTCATTTTTCGCAATAATTTTTATTCCACGAGACTTCCGTATCCAGATAATGTTATCTCGTAGTAAACCGTTGTTCCATAATGAATAGAGCTACCACTGTTAAGTATCGTACGCTTCTGGCTCAACGGAAGACGTGACAGCAGTGCCTCCATGTGCGATAGAGCTAAGTCGCCAATAATATAGGCTTGCGGAGGGTAGTTATTACGTAATCCGGACTGCACTTAAGACGTCACAGGCATGCTGCTATATGCTATAGAGATAACTAGAAACTCATATAACGTGGACGCCAGTAATTAATAGATGTTCCTGATTGCACTTAAGGTATCACATCGATGCTGACATATGCAATGCATGTCACTGACTACTCACATGCGCTCGCCACTCTTAAGTGTGAGAGGTTCCTGGCGCCACGAGAGACGTCACCGCAATGCAAGGGTATGCAACTGTGCTGACTGAGTACTCTAATAACCTGGCAGTCGGTACATATTATGAGTTCCCGACTCCGCTGACGAAGTGAAAGTCATACTACCATAGGCAATGGTGCTATCAGACTATATATATAACGTTGACCACCGTGATTATCAAATGTTGCCCGGTCCACAGATTGCGTAACAGCTGTGCAACCACATGCAGTGGAGGTAACGAACTACTCACTAAGCTGACCACTAGCAAATAAAAGCTTTCGCCGGTTCCACCCCATTTGCCACAGCAATACATTGTCCATATAATCAGGAATGAAGGTGAATGTTACGGGGAGGAAGTGTTGCTCAGGCCTACGTAAAGTGCTCACGCTGTTGTTGAGGACAGTATAGGTTTGTCGCGTCAACACAGTGGATCACTGAGGTCCGGGCTATATTCCATGAAATGGCAATAGAAATAGGAAATAAATACTGAACATACCTGCCGAGGGGTTCCATTCTTGCCGTTTCCAGAGGACACCTGCGAGGGGCCATGGAAAGACATGTGGATAAAAAGGGCGAGGGTTACTATGTGTCCATACGTATTACGGGACGAACGTGACTTACCCTTGTCTGTGTCAATCTATGGTGAAGCCTCGCATACAAAATAAATTATCTCCCGCAGAGAATGGGGCTCCGTTGTCATAAGTAACCAATAACGCATAATCGTCGTTCGTAGAGCCACCCACTAGGCTGCCATGCGGTATGCTCCAAGTAGTACCCAGCGGCTGGCAAGCAGCGTGGGTTACCATCCGAGGGAGTCATGCCGCTGCAGCGCCAGAGGGTGGCCCTAAAAAGGGCCGGTTTGTCGTTCTCAGTGGCATGGAGGAAGGGGAATTGGGTTAGAAAATGGGAACTCACATGCAAGAGACGCACGTATAGTGCTCCTGGTCTCCGGTATACGCGGCACATACCTGATGAAGCCACCGGTTACACTTGCAGCACACCACCCAGTGAGCGATGTCTCCGCTGGTTCTCGGTCCATCCACCGCATCGCAAATGATGCATGCTTTTTCGTTCTTGTTTGCGGATTGTATATGCTCCGCTCTGGCGCGTTTGTGCACCGTTTTGCTCATTGCGGAAGTGACAGTCTGCATGCGTCGGAAGTGAAGAGGGGGCGTTTCGGTTGACAGTTGTGGGGCTTCCATCACCCTAGGTGAAAGCGTCTGCTTCCTTTTTGTTGCATTGGGCCGTGGACGCTGCTGTATGGCGTCCGCCTGGTGGACGTTGTCAGGGAGGCGATTTCCAATGGACTCCAATCTCGGCCTCGGAAGCAAGGTATTTAAGCTGCTTTGGTAGAAATGCTCTGCCTCAAGGAAGCCATTGTACCCAGGCTGGTCATGGCAACGGTTAAATCACCAAACAGCCGGTTAGCACGAGAAAACTTCGCCTCACGCGTTAACACGTGCGCTGAGGCAGATGTGCAGGGTTTCGGTGCAACTTCCGCACGGAAGGCTTCCCCATCAGGGATAGGAATCTGATAGTCCCGCATCGACCAACGGCTTTTGTGCATAAGGAGGTAACGCCTGCGGTTAACATCCCAGCTACTCGCACAATGTGTGCGCATGGCATATCCCAATGCCTAAGGAAACTGCAATCACAGCTCATCTCATTACCCATAAAAACGGTGTTCTTTCGGTCTCCCTTACCTAATACGTCATACCCGGTGCCGTTCGGCAGTATTGAGGTGACCGTCTGCGAAGAAATGTGCCGCATAAATATGGCAGCAGCATAAGTAGAAAGGCAGGAAACCAACTCCCGCACCTGCCCTGTTCCCGGAATGGTGCGCGATTTCAACATCCGCAATTTGCCTAGTGACGTGGTCCAACGTGATTCAGCATCGCGTGCTCTACGTACAACTGCCTCAAAAAGTTGTAACAGCGATGTCTTTTCGCTTAATCCACACTTGAGGTGCTTATTCTCGTTCTCCACTCTGTTTGTGGTGAAGGCACCCAATGTACGCACATCGCGCAACCGGTGGTACGCCCAGCTTCCTGCGAAGGGCAACCACGTCCGACTGAGGTAAGTGAATGCCTCGTTGCTTCTAACCCTTATCGCTCTGAGCAGCATCTTAAATTCCAATTCCGTCTTCGTGTACACTAATCGGTGCATCCACTGCTTGAGCAAAACTCTCTCCGCCTTCTTCACTTTTGACAAACACTGGCATCTGCGTG